GGGGGGGGGGGGGGGGGGGGACACTAGGAATCATGGGATCACAGCAAAATGTCTGGGAACAGATAAAGATCATCACCATCCTGCTGTACTGGCCTGACATGACCCATTCAGGCTCTTTCAGAAGTTATTTTGTGCACAAGTTTGAATATTTACTTTCTCTTTACCTGTCTTATGTACTTCTATTTTAGAGGGGCTAATTGGTTGTTAGGGTTCTTGGTTGACTAAACATTTGTTTTCTTTTATATAAAATCTTTGGCTTCACAATAATATTCACACATTTGCTTTGATCTTTATTTAATAAGCTCTACATTCCTGCTACGACTTCCATTTGAAGATTATCTGCAGAAGAATAACACTGGAGATACAGACAGGTTGTTCAATTAATGTAAATAAATGGATTACTTGAAGAAATCATATGACTATAATTTGTCAAGTAATGAACAGGCCTGTATATCAGTTAGTAACCCCCTACATTTCCCAGGATGTACCATTTTAAAACATTATTTTGGCCATTTTCTCTTTATTGCACAGTTGACAGTAGAGAAGGAAACAGGAAACAAGGCGAGAGGTGGAATTGAACTGGGGACGGTATATGGTATCACAGCTACTTCTCAAACTTTATACAGTAAAAAACAGTAAGACTGATATTCCAAATACATGATGACGTTTTCAGATGACACAACACTGTCTTTATTAGGCACTAAAGATGATCCTAGTAATATTGAACGGATAGAATAAAGGTCCTAAAAAAGTATTCAGTTTCAATTGTCAATCCATTTCTTTGTCCTCTACTTACTGGTTTGAAGTCAATTAGAAAAATGAGAAAAAGCTGATATACTTCTGTGCACCAATCAGGATTTAGCAACAAGTTTAAACAAAATCTGAGTTAGGTTGTTTGCTATTGTGACCAGACCACCGTCAACAACACGTGATCAGACCACATCCACATGGTCCTGATGAAGCAAGTGAAATGATGAGTGTTTAACTCTTAAAATAAACAATTTTGGATATATATATATATATATATATATATATATTATGGAATAGAGAAATATGTTCGGTGCTATTTATCTTTGCACAGTCTAAAAGTCTTTGCCTGTGTTGCTTTTGCAGCCTCTATTGCAGCCTCTCTGTGGTTTGTTTACATAGTCTGTCTGCTCATTGTGCAGCTCCGCAGAGCGACTGAAACGTCAGTTTTTCTCACCTACCTCAGTGATGACTTTTTACAGAGAATTTTGGTGAGTTTTATTTTGTTTCTGTCAACTTTAAATGAAGCAAGGTAAAATGACTACTTTAGTCTATGGAGTCTGGTGGCGAGCAATATGGATATTGCAGCTGTTTCGGGTCTATCTCTGTACGGGTTCTTCCCTAATGTTGTCAGACACTTAGAATAACTGACAGGCCACTGAATAGCCTGTGGCAAAAACAAGCACTTTCAGTGGACGCACTTTGAGGGGCGCATTTGTCCCCTACGATTAACATTAGCGATTTGGCGCCAACACAAGCCCTAAGGAACAGGCCTGCGTATAGCTGGAGAAAACTACAGTGATATCAATGGAAAATATTTTACTGACAACGCAACTAGTCTTCGGACTTTGTATTGCATTATGGTCTCTGTTGTTGTAAAGTGTTATCATTGTACATACGATCGGTAGCAATACCTCAACATGACATGTAGTCATCTATTTTTTGGCAGTTCATTTTAAGTGAAGTATTAATGCAACTAAAAGTAACATTGGTAAAGCAGGTCATCTTATTAATTTCATACTTGAATCAGTAGTGGCAGAGCCCTTACGGCAAAATCCACAACTTAGCATGCACAAGCTTCTCTGGAAAGCCAAATAACAGCCTGTGGCTCTTCACTGCACAGTGTGATGCTGCGACCTTCAAGACAGCTCGTAGGGTGAACGTTAGGATACCTGACCTTGGTTTGCAGGACACTTAACAAAAGGAGACAAAAGCTTGTTTAATCTAATGACCAGGCAAACAGATCTGTCTGGTAATGAGGTCATGTTTCCCCACCGACGACAGCCACTCCTTTCAGTGGCCCTGTGCAACCGGGGAAGTGGAGAAGCTCAACTTCATTAGCAAAATGCACCACACCATTTAAAGCAATCATATCGGTTCGCTTATGCTCAGAGCACAAGGGTCACTATCGCAACACTATCAGTTGAACAACTCAATGGTATAATGGGGACTGTAAAATGATCAAAATATCTTCAACAGCTTCTATATTTAGAACATGAAATGTGACGAGCAGCCTCCCCGACAGGCAATAACAAGCAGCAGCCTGTTCGAAATACTTCCGACAAACTTCCTGTGTGTTATCTGCAGCATTACAAACAGACTTTCAACTGGCTCTAAACTGATAAATCAATACTACACTAAATAAAGAATGGCTTGTGCCACAAATATTGCAATTCAATGCACTTTCCTGGGCATATATAAATAAATAATATAAATCAACAATTAATCAATTCCACACAAGTATGCCAAAGTATTTGCCAACTACCGGTTTATATGGAAATTACTGCTACAGTCAGAGAATTTGCTTTAGTTACTGGAGCCTGAAAACAGAGCTGAATGAAGCCAAAGTGATTTCCTGCACTCTGCTCACATTCATTGATCTCACTGCAGAATAATTTAAAGCTGAATGAGCCGGTCCCTCTTGGTGAGTTTACCCCTTTAATGAAGGATCTTGTGGCAGACTCAGTAAGAGGCTGTCTGCCTTTCTATGTCAAGATTTAAAAAGGTTTGTTCCATGAGCTTGTTCGCTTGATACTGGATAACTCTGACTTGTTTTAGGGCTTCTTTTGCCTTTGTACTTTTCTTTTCCATGTCTCCCTTGAAAAAATCATATCATATCAGTGGAATGACATGATTATGTAAGTATGTTTTAAAGAAAGATGAACAGTAAAATGACTTGTATAATCCCAATCAGTCAGTCTAACAGTCTACTCTGTGTCAGTTTCAAAGGCTGCATCTCTCCACCTGCAGTGACACTCAGTACTGTCGCACAGTAGATCTTTTAATGCTGCAATGAATCAAACTATTACAGTTAAGGTCTCCCTGAGCAGCAGAAAGGACAAACACTCCTTGGGGACACCTTAGGCTAAATCAGCACTATAAATATCAGTACGATAGCACACTTCTGCTGACAAGTTTTTCTTACACATCTGCTTCTCCCACAGACACTGATCTACATGTGGAGTAACGGTCTACTGCTGCTGACTGCTAAAACACTGTTGGACAAAACCAATTCAGATTATGTCCTACTCTACCCTTAGTGTATTCACAGTGCAATAAAACATAATGCTGTAATAAAGAGTGCTAAAAATAATGAAACAGACTTCATCCTTTAACTTCAATCCTTTAATCTTTCACAGGAGGACTAAATCTAAGGGGTTTACATAATTATTGATTACCCAAAATAAACAAGATAAAGGCCAGAATATTTTTCTACGGAGCAACATTCATTCACAGTTTAGAGAGACCATCTATGAAAGCCAAGAACGGCAATTGTTTTATTATATCATATTATTTTGAGATAAAAAGTTAATTACCTTTTTTATTTATTTATTTTTTTTATTTTATTTAATTTTATCTAATAATCTAGAGAAAACAACCTGTTGCAGAACATTTGTTGGTTAAAGCCTTTCAAATGTGATTTGTTGTTTTTCTTTTTTATATTACGGCAAATTTAATATCTTTAGGTTTTGGATTGTTTGTCAGACAAAACAAGACATCTGACGTTATCTTGTAATATATAAAAATATATAAAAATATATTTTATATATTATATATATTTATATATTTTCTGACATTTTATAGATTTATCGATTAGTGAAGAAAAAAGAAAATAATCAGAAAATTAACTGATGGTGAAAATAGATGTTAGTTGCAGCCCTAGTTGCAAGAAAACTACTTTGTTATCGTGAGAAACCAAAACTAACCATGACACAAACATAAAGCATACAACCTTTTAACAGCCCTTGATGACTTTTCAGTTTAATCAGAATCCAAGAGCAAGCATTACAAATTTAACCTTTTTTTGTTCCATTTAGACATTTCAACTGTACAGTGTGATATGGTTAGCATAGACTTATTCAAGAGGTTACAGGTGGGGTCGTCCAAGGCTATATGAGGATACAAATGGGTTTCTTACATAAGAATAAAGCATGTCGGGCGCCCGGATAGCTCAGTGGGTAGAGCTGGCGACCCATGTACTGAAGCTGACTCCTTGCTGACCTGCGGCCCTTTGCTGCGTGTCATCCCCTCTCTCTCTGCCCCCCTTTCCTGTCCGTCTTTAGCTGTCACTATAATAAAAAGGCAATAAAAGCCCCAAAAATATACTAAAAAAGAATAAAGCGTGTTTCTGTCTTGAGGTGAGGAAAATGATTGTACAGTCAACCATCATATATATTAAAAGACCATTATTGCTGTATGTGTGTATTTTTTAAGTTAAAGGACTAGTGTGTAGGATTTAGTGGCATCTAACTATGAAACGCTTACTTTACAACTAGCCTTATCACTACTTAGTTGTGTCCACTATAAAATACCAAATAATAAAGCATTAACTGAAACTTACAGTATGCGCTCTCGTAAGAATATACTGTGTAAGATGAAACTATACTATACATGCTCCACAATCACCACTGAACAATGATATTTCAGCAGCTAATAACCACAGAGGAATTGTTGTGAGGATGGATTTCACTGCAGTGTCTGGCTGGCTCAGCAGTAAAGCTTAGAGTAGGAGGGTGGGCGGCAACATGGATGAGAAGTTAACACCCTGAGAGACTGCGTATGAGCACAGTCTCATACTCTGGGCAAACACCACAGATGCGGTTACAGACCTACAGTCCACATGTGTGACCTGCTGACTTGTAGCAGAGATATGGGATAACTGAGGAAGAGGAAGGGAACTGTGTTGAGTGATTACCTGAAACACAAACGTTAATTCTTGACTGAGGCAGTTAGACAAAAAGAGACTGTTGACAGACCAACAATATCTATAAAACAACAAATGACTCATCTGTATTTTTATGTGTTTTCTTTAAAGCACACACAAAGTACAATTAAAATGACCCCTGTATAAAATTCAGTCACTTGGGTATAAATCTGACACTCAATACAGGACTTTTTATCCACGGCATCAGTTTTGACAATATATAGGACAATAAGACACAATCTCCTCATATTAAAAGGGGTTGTGGTGGTTTATGCCATGGAGAAGACTAAGGCAAAACTTCATATGAAACCAGAAATATAAAAAGACTGGCACCTCTTGCACAGACTGTGTGAAGAAATTAGTTAAATCTATCCCCCCCTCCTATCTCTAAGACAAAAACATCTTATCTAATATCTAACCAGGAAATGACAAGCAGCATGAGACAAAATTGATAGTTGCAGTGACATCCTGAATCAACGTGTAAGTGTGTGTCTGTGCTTACTGCAGGTGGTGCCTCTAATTGCTCTCATGAGGGTCTCCAGAGTGAACAGTAGTCGTCAGCAGAGGGGAAAGTGACATGTATTGATTTGAAAATGGGGGCTAGATCTCATTAAGGCTTTCCCAACAAAATGCCCTGCTCTCATTTTTCCTCAAAAACCGAGGCCCAGCCAAGCTGGCTAAGGTCTTTTCTCTAAGTCTACTGTGCTTCCTCAGGATGTCCCTGGGGAAGATGAACTGTACTGCATATTCTCTACAGTGCTCCACATATCACTCAAAACTCCCTGCACAGAAAACACTAAGCAGACTCTAAGTAGGAAAACACTGTTATTACACAATTAAAGAGCAGGTATAGCTTTACATAATGTCAACAAAGTTCAGAGAAATTCATTTATTCTGGAGATGACCGGGCAAATTAGTCAACAGTGTTGAACAATCATGTTTTAAAGAATCTGTTTTATAATAATTATTCATCACGTCCATTCTACATTAGTTTGATCTCACCGCAAGATCCATTAAGTAGCTGTTCACACATGATGAGCACATCACAAGATTCGGCCAGTTGTCATTAAGATAATGGACGTGAAAAATGGAAATTTGTGCTGTAAAAATGTTATGACGATGGACAAACTCTGTATGCTGAGGAAGATAGTGGGATACAATCGAAAACTCCAGAACAGCTACTAACAAGAACTTGTGTTGAGACTGTTTTGTCAACAATAATCATAATAATCTATCTTTATCTTTCCACTGTGGTTGCTAAAGGCAGTCTCCATCTTTCCCCAATTATAATCCTGTGCTCCTGTGTTGATTGTTCAGTTGTATCTTGGTACAATCCAAATATATATCAAAAAAGTCTCTAAAATTCCTTTGATACCTTCATTTCTCCGATCAAATGTAATTTAGGGTGACTAGGTTGACCCCGCCTTATAAAACCACATTTGACACTAGCTTGTGGGTAGTAGTAGCTAGCAGAGACATAACTTTCAGGTGATCCAGTCAAACCTGAAGAAGCGGAACTAAACCCTTCAACACATACTCGGAAATATGTCACATTACGGACACTAAAGACTCATCAGTGTTTCAGTGTTTCTTAAAATGTACTTGCAGGAGACTTATGTCCTTTATTTCCTCGTACATTTTTATAACAGTAGTGAGCCAAACCCCTGAGACAGCTGAATCGAACAGAAAAGGATTTGTAACTCTAACTGGTTTTTGAATGATACACCTGCCTCTGTAGTTGATACATCAAGTGTCTGGTGTGTACCCACAGGTACATCACTGCATCATTTAGCGAACACTACTAAATCGTAACGCAAAACAGCTGCAACCAATCAAGAACTAATTTCCAGTTAAATTCTTTATGCGCTGCTGATTCTTTCAACATGCCGCTGACTATCTCGAGGTCTTGATCAAGCAGGTGTACAAAATGAAGGGAATCTACCGGACAAAGACACCATTTGCTATCGTAGTAGCTGCCTCTTTGGCTAGTACCTGACTTCATTAAGCACATTAAAAGAGATTAATAAGAAAATAAAGGCTAGTAGATAACCTTGCTCTCAGATTAAGTTGCCTTCAAGATTATAGAGCGTCTGGGAAATGAAATGTTGGACCTTTTCACAGATGAAGGCCTTGTTATCAAAAGCAAGTAGGTGACATTAAAGAAAGGAACAATGAACAGAAGGGTTGGAAGGGTTAGCTGTCCGCCTCATCAAGCAGAAGCCATTGACTGTGTGCTTCAAAACAGGCCTCATTTCTCAAACCAACTCCCTTTTCTCCTCAGAGAGCCATATCCTGCGGACACATGCTGGGCTCCCACACAGAATACCAGAGCATGCCACATGTTCAGTGGAGCACCAAGCCTCCGCCTGTCCCTCATGAAATATTTATCATCCAGTGCCGACGGAAAAGCTATGATGTCAGAGATTCCAGTTTCGGTGTCCTGTTACTGCACGGCCACAGTGACACAGCAGCTCAGCGAGCTAAAGACGGGCTGGGGGCTTCAGATGGTTTACTCTAAGGGGTTAAGTTTAAGCACTTGTCCCGTGAACTGTGAAATAAGAGCGTATCTCATTGTTCACCATGTCTCTGCAAGGTTTTTACTTACTAACCAGGGAATTAAGGCTGCTCTATCTTGGCTGATTAGTCATCTAATCAGTTGATAAGGTCTCGTAGGGTTGATAGTCAATTAGTCTTTTTTCTAATGGACTTTTCACGCGGAATAAACTATTAATGGTTAGTCAGTATGACTGAATTAATCTGCAGAGGGAAAATAGAGTAACAATCTGACATATTTAACTTCAAACAAATCAGTCAAAATAATAATTTGACTATTAAACTCGACAGCGTGTAAATTAAACCAGATTTTAACCTTGAATTTCAGAATATAGTCGAATTCCTACCAGATTTGGTTTTCAATGAGATGCGGTGCTGTGAGAGAAATAACACTGAACTGGCAAAAGATCAAAAGTCTGCATCTTCTCAGCCATCTGTCAATATCTGTCTTTTTTCTTCCTGCTTTGAGTGAAGAGTAGAATTACCTGAAGTAATGCTCCCTTTGTGTTTTTTGTCAACATTTCTGAGGATCTTCTTTGAATAAACTTGAATGGACTTGGAATCAGTGGACAAAAGCCAGTAAACTGATCTGTACAGTGTGAGCACAGAGCTCATGCCTTTTAGCGGAAATTAAAACTTGAACACAATGTACAAGATTAATAAAGAGGAAGTATCTGCCCAGCTTTGGTCTGCAAAGACTCCACTAACCATGCACATGTTTTATGTGTGAAAATCTGAGGTCCGCTAGGTGATGGCAGTTGATTTTTATAAAGAACTGACTAGGTCATCATATTATAGTTTTGACTGTTTTCCCATACTGAAACTGCTGAATTCATATTTCGGGATTTTATATTTCCTGATTTCCAGTTCCCTTCTATCTGCTTGTTTTTCTGTTGCATTAACTGTCTCACTAGAGGATGGCACTGACAGAAGACTGCAGCAACTCCAAATAATATTCGCTCCTCTCTGTATCACCTCTGCTCAAGTCAGTTTCATTCAAAGAGCTGCTACCCCTAAAAACTATTTCTAGATGGATTCCTCCCGTGGCCTGGCAATTACCTGCCGGCTGTCGCGCTGGGAAGAGGAAGATGAAGAGGCGCTCTTGTGAACCGGTGTGGAGGTCTTGTTGACTGGCGTGGAGCTCCTCTCCTCAGAGCTCATGGTGCGGCCATGGGGGCCTCGCTGGTAGTGTTGGTGGTGAGACATGGTGGGCACCAGTTGGCTCTGTGGACCTCCCTCAGCACTGGGCCCTGCAGACCAGGAGCATCCTCTGACACTGTCTCACTCTCACTGCTTGCTGTTCATCTGAAAAGCAAAAGAAAGCAGGAAGTTACACTATTGCGTCTTTTTCCCTTCCTCATTCTGTTCGCAGTGTTGTTTATACCAGACACACAGCCACACTGTCACTGATTAAAGATTGCTTAGTCTAGTTTATTCCTTGAAGAAATTAGCATGTGAAGAATGCAGAGCTCTATCAATTTCAGTATGTTAATCTAACTCACAGATGCTCAGTTGAGACACCCTGAGCTATTCCTTGAATCATGGGTTTTTAAGATTCTTCTCATTACATGTGCATTACTGAATAAGACTTTCATTCTGTCTGCCATGAGATTGGTGCAGGAAAGCATATCATTTGAGAAGCAATGAACCCGAGAAATTGTAGCATTTTTGATTAACAAATCGAGTAAACGACTAATTGATTTAGCTGTAACTATTTGCCGTCCATTTACTTCAGTTAAACAGTAGAGCTGCAATGATTTGTCAACTAGGTGATTGATAGTAAATGAATCGGCACCTATTTACCTATTTGTCACCTTGGGCTTTAGAAAATCTAAAATCCACTATTTTCTGTCGTTTCACAGACCAAACAATTAATCTGCAGATTAATCGATAACCGATAGTCATTGCTTGCAATCATTCTTGCAACCCTACATCTTTGTACAGGTACTGAACTGAACTGAAAAGGAAATGTGACAAATTCCCCTGTCAGTCTGACTGCAGTCACTGCCTCCACTGCGGAAGATCATCATCCCACAGGACTGTTTCTATATCATAAATTCTTAAACATCTAATTACCAGCAAGATAATTATGGTAATTAGAAGAAGATACCAAATCAATATAGGAAGGCATCTAAGCACAGCTCAACTGTATGACCACAAACCAGTTTATACCAGCTGTAACAACATCCACTGGTTTAAACTATTAAATATTGGCAGGGCCATATCATGAATAAATATACTAGATCCAAAATGTCTTGTTAACCTTCTGCGCAGATAGCAGCAGGGAGTGCTCGTTTTCATCATTAGTCATGGCACTGCGTTGCTCCATGCTGACACCCATAATACTGCCCGCAGTGGTGCTGTGTAATTGTCTGAGCTCTCAGGAGGTCTCAACAGTGATAAAACATACATCGACTGCAAGACAGTAGAAAACAAACAGATAAACAAACCCTGTTCAATTTGGAAACCGAGCCACTTAGTGAGATACTGAGGATTTTATTGGACCTTTACAAGGGCAAACCACAATATTTTAGATCGATTAGCTCAGCGGTGATAATGTGACTTTTGGGAATAACATTGAGAAGATGCAGTATCAACACAGAAAAACAGATATCAGCAATGTGGATACAATGAACTAAAAGTAAAACGCAAAACTAATAAACTCATAAAACTTGTGCCTTTAAATACCAGGGAAATACCAGATTGCAATAACAATAAATCATGCTACACATGATTGTAGGACAATTGAGGGTAAATCTGAAACAATTTGTTGATTAATCGATTAGATGATCGAGATGAATTAATGAATAAACTAATCTAATAACTTTAGTAACGAGGGTGTGTTTAGCATTT